ACCTAAGGAAATAAAATATCTCTATAATGAAAACTATAATATTCTGAAAACAAATCATTGGAGAAGACATTAGAAAATGAAAAAACATTCCTTGTTCCTGGATAGGCTGAATTAATATTGTCAAAATCATCATATCACCAAAACCGACATATAGATTTAATGCAATTCTAATTAAAATACCAAAAGGATTTTTCACAGAACTAGAAAAAAAAATTCATATGGAACCAGAAGAGACCCCTACTTTCCAAAGCAATATTGAGCAAAAAGAGAAAAGCAGGAACATTGCAATCTTTGATTTGAAGTTATACTACAAAGCCATAATAATAAAAACAGCACAATACTGGCAGAAACACAGACAGATTGATCGATGAAATAGAATTGAGGGTGTATTAGTAACCTTTAGCCATCTGCTTTTTGACAGAAGGGCCAAAAACATACCCTGGAGAAAAGACAGCCTCTTTAACAAATGATACTGGGAAAATTGGTTTCCATGAATCTAGGTACAAAATAAAATAAAGATGAATCAAAGATCTAGATATAAAAACAGAAACACTGAATTTGCTGGAAAAAATTGGTAAAACTCTTCAAGACATAGGCATATGCAAAGATTTTCTGAACAGAACCCAAGGTGCAAAAATAAATAAATCAATAAATGGGGTTATATTAAGCTAAAAAGCTTTTTCATAGCAGAGGAAACAACTAACAGAGTGAAGAGACAGCCTAGAAAATGTGAAAAATAATTTCTAGCTAATATTTAGAGAACTAACACTAGGATATATAAAGAACTAAAACAAATTAGATCCTTTAAAATAAAAGACCCAATGAAGAAAGGGCAATTGAAATGAACAGGCCCTTCACCAAAGAAGTACAATGACCAATAAATACATGAGAAAATATCCAACATCTTTGGCCATCAGAAAAATGCAAAGCAAAACAACATCAAAATTCCATCTTACTCAGTAAGAATGGCCATCACCATGGATTTCAAAAACAACATATGCTGGTGAGACTGTGGGGGAAAGAGACCATTTTACACTGTTTGTAAGATTATTAAACTGAAAATGCCAAGTCTTGCTGAGTTATAACCTATAACATTGAATGTTTTTGCTCTGATTTTTCCTTTGCCTTCATAATACAAGTCATTTTTCCATATCAGGTATTTCTTCCTGGATTTGAAGAGTCCTTGAAGAGTCATGCATGCTGCTATATCTTCTGTGTAGGCTGAACACATTCAGTTCTCCAATTTATCTCTACTCAGTGTAATGTCCAAATCCTTCATACTATTGGATACCCTCGCATAGACTAATTTGGTAACATTATCAGGAGTGATTTTGTTGGCTGAGAGGAGTCCAATGTAGGAAGACTAGTTAAAAAGGGCCAAAATTCTCCAATATAACCTGGATAGCAATACCTACAGGCCTTGTCCACCACCTTCCCTATATCAGATCTTTCTGAAGGACCATTAAGCAGATGGTCTCATTTTTCATGACAGGAAGCCTCTCTTTGCTGCTGGCCTCAGTGCCTTCGTCCCCTCTTGGCAAGGTATCCTGGAGTATGGTAGTCACAATATTCTCTGATGGGGCTGTTCCCCGGGGCCTCAGTAAAAGGATGGGATCTTGTTAGAATTTTATTTGAAGAGAAAGTAGAAGTACTAATTGGCATCTAGATGGTAAAATTTCACCTCTGATCCCTATAGACAGTGTTTGTTAAGGGTGCACATTAAACATCCTGTTCTTGGGATCTGATAGCTTAAATTCTTACCCCACTATAAGTCAATCAGTGCAGCTTTTTGGTGAGTAATGAGTCATGGTCGGCCAAGGAAGACATATACACAGGCTACATCCACATATTAAGTTTCCCCTAACCTCCCCGAATTTGGACAGTATTCTAGCTTGTCTGGGATGGAACTGTAATGCTTTCAATGTCACCATGGAAAGTTAAAAATGCAGACAATACTGTGTACATTGTTGGAAGTTTATTTAGATCTTTTGTATTGTGTGGATTGGGCAAGGGAGGGATTGGGTATGTTAGAATTTTTATTCCAAAGCAGTCAGACATTCTTCTTGTCCTTGCTTAGGAGTAGGCTGTTTGGAGAGGTAGTCTGCTTTGACCTGGGGTGTATCACAGGGAAACATTTGTGAGGACATTACAGTTTGTTTCTGTTTCCCTGGTTCTTAGATCCATTGTGTTTCCTGATAGAGGTAAAGGAGCTAAGCTTACTGGGTCAGGCTTTTCCTTGAGGCACAAGGATATAATAAGGGACTTCTGAGTCCTAAAGGAATAGTTGAGACATTAGGTATAATTTTTTTCTTTTTCTTTTATTTCTTTTATTTTTTTCTCATTGAGTTTGCTGGTATTTTTTAAGTATACAGTACAGTTACATTCATCACTGGGATCTCTTACCTTTACATAACAGATCTTGGTTCTCATTTTTTCCCCATACCTCTGCCCTCCCCTTTCCCCCTTCCCCCTCCCCTATTTACAAAGACTTTGTTTCCATTTTTCCTATTCTCATATTTTTCTTTTGCCTTATTTCCTTTCCCCTGCCATTTCCACTTCCCCTATACCTTTAGCCCTTTTCTTCCTATTTTACATTATCAGTTATACAATCTGGATCTTATTTACACTCTTAGTTGGAGTACTACTCAGCCATAAAGCATGAGAAACTAGAGTCATTTATAGGAAAATGGATGCATATTGAAGCCATACGCAAGTGAAATAAATGACACACATGTATAAACATCAGGTATAATTATTTCTTACAGTATTCTGAAAACAGAGGTTTAAGGATATGCAGCTTTGGGGATATTTAGAAGCGGATGTTCAGGTGGTCAAAACCACATTTCTTGACACTTGCCAGCACCCTCCCAACACCACATTCTGAGACCGCTGCAGGAAATAGTGTGTTACTGAAGAGAAGGAAGGGCATTATGAGGGAGGATATGGCGTTTTTAATTGGGCTGCTCTAGTTTGCTACCATGTAGCATCTGCCCTTAGAGCTATCTGGTTCTCTTTGCATTCTGTCTCTTCTCTCTCTCTTTTGGTACCGGGGATTGAACTTGGACAGGCAGTGGAAACACTGAGCTAAATCCCCAGCCCTTCTTTGTATTATCTGTCAATTCGGTAAGTTTATATTATGCCTCACCAGATTGCTCAAATATACCATTTATTACTTATACATCAATACAAATATTTTAATCATTGGGAAAGGTTTTAATTTTATATCTCATTCAATGCTCACAATACCCTTGTGAGGCAGAAACTTAAGTTCAAAATGGCCAGATGCTCTGTTTGAGGTCACACAGTGGATGGATGGCAGAAAAGGTGCCTGGAACCAGGATCTTGACAGGAGCCTATTCCATGATGCCAGAACTCTAGGACCCTTTGTACTTCTCATCTTCCCAGCCCTCACACCCTCTGTGATTATCACACAGCTGTCTTAGAACTGTTGTTGAAGGTAAGGGAAATGCTCAAGTGGTTTCTCTTGGAGGGAAAAATGAAACTTGGCCATTTTAAAGCAGTGCCATTTCTTCTTTCTTGGATTGTGTTCCAGGCTGACTTCTGCTTCTTTTCCCTCAGGCCAACAGACTTTTTTTTGGCAGTTGAGACTGTAAGATCAAACCTGGATGTACCTTTAATTCCTAGAACATGTGTAACTTTTCTTACCTTTCAACGCCATTCAGAACCTAGATTTTGGTATTTGTGTGTCCTTGTTTTTTTTTCTTTCACATGTGAGGATCACAGTATTCTGGTATTTAGATTTTAGAGACACATTATCCCCAAATCATTCCTCATCGGTCCTATGATTTAATCTCTGTGTACTTCCTCTTTCCTCATGTTCAAAGGATCCAGGGGATTCTTCCCTGTCCTATAGGAGGCCCAGCCAATACAGAGACAGGAAGATGTCTTTGAACTTGGTAGTCCTTGGATGTGAGCTGTGGTCTGATTCAGTAACAAAGAAGGGTAAAGCTGGATAATTTGCCGCTTTCCAGACCTCAGTTTTCTTATCTTCAAGCTGATAGTACTGAATATGCGACATCATGAGGACATGAATAATCTTATAAATCTTAGTGTGGTAGTCTACTGGAAGGCACATCTACCAATTTTCTCCCCTGGTTTCAGTAAGATGGCTGTAGTATAGAATTATTTGACCTTAACATTATTATTATTACCACAGGGTGTTTTTATTCCTGGTGAGCAGTAACTTAGTGTCTACCCCACCTTGAAGGGGAGGGGATACAGAAGGTGGTAAGGTAATTTATTGAGATATTGGGAAAAGAAGAAAGTGAATATATATTGAATTATCCAAAGAGGACCCCAATTTTGAGTAATTAGGGTCCGTATATTATTCTATAACTGTGGCAATCACGTGAGGTTTCGAAGAGTGGGATGCCTCTGAATTAAGAGATAGTCTAGATGTTATTTTTTTTTGACAATTTCTGTATGTGTTTTGTTCTTTCTTTCTTTTTTGGGGGCGGTACAGGGGATTGAACTCGGGCCCTTGCACTTGCAAAGCAGGTGATGGAACCACTGAGCCAAATCCCCAGCCCTGTATGTATTTTTGGAAGTTTCAAATGAAGTGTAGTGGGATGAGGCTAGAGAACCATCTGGGTTCAGTGTTGAGTAAATCAAGCATAGTATACAGAATTTTGGAATATAAGCTGGCTGGGAATGGCTTTTGTTCAACAGCATTTTATCTCTTAAATGTGGTTATGTGAGTTGCTCCGGGTCACACATATTTGTGGGATATATAATTTTGCAACCTGGTGTTTGAAATTCTCATCCAGTGTATTTCCAACCCATTAGCCTGTGCTTGAAGAACTTGCAGAAATATCAGCTAAACTGAAAATTATGTTTGACTCTCTGAGAGCTGTGAAGGAGAGTGATGTGATGGTGTTGGCATTAGGAAGGCCAGATATCCTGAACTCCTAATCTCCACGGCATCGAACCTCACCAGTCTACCTTTCTTGGCAGTGGGCTGTATTCATCCATGTGGGATGATGACCAATGAGTCTCATCTCTTTCCACATGCTTTCTTCTTGGCTGGCATTCCAGGGCTGAGTGCTGCCCACGTTTGGATTTCCATTCCCTTTTGCTTCATGTTTTTCCTGGCGCTGACTGGAAATGGTGTCCTGCTTTTTCTCATCTGGACAGAATATAGGCTTCATCAGCCTATGTTTTTGTTTCTTGCCATGCTCAGTTTTGTGGACCTGGTCCTCTCTCTCTCCACTCTGCCTAAGATGCTGGCCATTTTTTGGTTTGGTGCTACAGCTATCAGCTCCCATGCCTGTCTTTCCCAGATGTTTGTCATCCATGCATTCTCTGCCATGGAGTCAGGGGTACTAGTGGCCATGGCCTTGGATCGCTTCGTGGCTATCTGTAACCCATTGCGTTATGCAGCCATCCTAACCCCAGTTGTTGTCACCAAGATTGGAGGCCTGGTGGTGCTGAGAGGAGTGGGACTGACCATCTTTTTTCCAAGTCTGGCCCATCGGCTGCTCTACTGTGGCTCTCACACAATTGCTTATACCTACTGTGAGCATATGGCAATAGTGAAGCTGGCCTGTGGGGCTACCACTGTGGACAACCTCTATGCCTTCACCGTGGCAGTCTTTCTTGGTGTGGGGGATATGGCCTTTATTGCCTATTCTTATGTGCAGATTGTGAAAACAATGAGGCATTTGCCTTCACCCAAGGCACGTGCTAAAGCAGGCAGCACATGTACAGCCCATGTCTGTGTCATCCTTTTCTTCTATGGTCCAGGCTTTCTTTCTGTGGCCATTCAGCATTTTGGGCCACACACAGCCTCTGGTGCCAAGGTCATCCTTGCCAATCTCTACTTGCTCCTTCCCCCTGCATTGGATCCCATTGTCTATGGAGTCAAGACCAAGCAGATTCGGGAACAGCTGTTCACACTTCTACGCCCTGTGCAGATTGAACCCCCTTGAGTACAATTCTCATTAGTTGGAACTTAGGGGATGGGATGGCTCTTCCCCATGGAGTAGAAGCCCCACAACTACATCATTTACCTGGTGGGAACAGTGAAGATAAAGAAAATGAAGCTCTGGGTGCTTGTAAGTCAAGAAATGTCTCCTGTGATGTTCAGATATTGGGATGAAAGACTAAGAAGGGCTGTGGTATTTCAACTGATCCATTAAAAAGCCCTTTCTGTTATTTTTTTTATCCTAAAAGTTTATATTTGTATTGGTAATGTAAATGCATAAATTTATAAATACTAAGAAGCGAGACTGATAGTGCTGGATTCAAGTGACCCAGGAGCTTAGGAGAGATGACCTGGATGCCTATTTTGGTCATATGAAGAAATGGAGCACCTCACTACCATGTCACTCACAATCTGTATTTGAGAGTGGATAGATCCTGACTACCAGGGAAACTTGAACTGCAGAGAAAGAAAAATGGCAAGTTATGGAGACAATTTCACACTGTTTTATGAATGAAACTAAAATATTTGTGTTTTGTCTAACTCCAAAATTGTAGATAAAGCTTTCTTTATTCTATGTACTTTTCAGTCTGCTTTTGGGATGGATGGCTTTTGATGCCTCCTCTTGTATTATCTTTTAATTAGTACATGTTTGCAATACCCAATGTTCACATTTCTCATGTGAAGTTGGTACATTTCACATGAGATGTACATCTCAATTTCCTACAGTATTGCATATTTTTAATCTTTGAGGGTAATGATGACTTTTTTTTTCATTTTTAGTCTGAAGAGCAGATACTTGAGTTAATCAAACTTAAAGTTTATTGCCACACGATAATTATTTTTCTAGTTCTTTTTCTGCCTACTTATGTCTGTCTTCTTTCCTCTCTTGCTTATTCCCTTCTCAAATCCTATCAGTGGTACTCAATTTAAACTGTTGGTCATATATTCTTAAATTTTACCATTTTTGAAATATATAATATTGTCTGAGCATTATATATTCCTAGCATATATAAATGCCCTTCTCTAAATTTCTCAAATGTGTAGTTGTTTTTATCCAGGGTTGACATAGCCCCTTTTCATGGTAATACAACTTCCTGTTCTTATCCTCACATTATCCATTCATCTTGAACATCAGTTCCAATCTCATTTCCTTGCAGAATATTTTCCTAGCTAATCAAGTCACTCATTTTTTGATCTCAGAGTATTAAGTTTTTTTAAATTATCTATCATAATTTATAATTATATATATTTGATTGGATGAATGATCTCTGTCTTGCCTACCTAACAGATAATGATTTCTATTATATTCTTAGCATAGTTCCTAGCATATTACATGTTCTTCATGAATGTTTGTTTAATAAATAAATCTCATTTTAATGGATTGTATTACTATTAGCATATTTCTTCATCAGTCATGTTTTTAATATAATAATAGATGATTTTGAATAAACAACCACATAAATCTCCATAATAAGCATTCAGTGTATTTATATTGAAGAATTTAAGTGAAATGTTGTCATCATACTACTATTAATACTACTATTAATACTACTGCCTTTACTGTCATCAAGATCAACATCTCTTTAGCTTAGTCTTTTCAAAGTTTGAATTTAGTAATGGTGGTATTTTGGGCACTGCACAGAGGCACTGTAGGGCATAAATACTCTTGTAAGGCAGACTCACTGGTCTGTATAGGTATAGAGAAAACTGAAAACAACATTTATCTTCTTCATTTGCTCCCTCTTTCTTTATTTCATTATTTCCTTTCATTTCTTGAGTATTTACAAGGCTTCCAGTGTGATGGGGGGGTGAACTTGAAATGCAAAAATTACAATAAAATGTGATAGTGCTGTAGTAGGGATTGGTTCCACATCATGGGGAACTAATTCTCAGGAGTAGGACATGAGCTTGGTTGGGCTGAAGGAATACTGTCACTGGCGAGCATTAGCAAGACTCTAAATCTGCACTGGAAGGAACATGGCACAATTTACTTTTTGTACCCAGAGGGAGTCTACCTGGAGTCTTTCTCCTAAGTGGCTTCGGCTTTATAGCATACATTTTAATGTCATTTTCTTTGTTAAATATTAGTCTTCAATGTTGCTGGAAAGAAGATAGCTCTTCAAATCAAGTGCAAGAAGTTCAGACTGATCCTATCTTTGCTTCTGATTCATAGGTGGGAGTGGAGCAAAGATCTGGAGGAAGACTGAATAATGGCTGCCATCAATGGCTTTAGAAGACTCCAAATGCTTTGAGTGAACTAAGTTTGAACAATTCTGTTTTGAATATCTTGTGCCAGTGAAAAAAAACCTTGCTAATAAGGGCAGCTTTTCTGTGGTTAGCTTTTATTCCATGGTACCTCTAATCTTTGAGATAAAGACTTTGCACGCATGTGTGCACGCACACACACTCAAAATGCAAGCAGAACTAGTGTCACAATTATTTCCATTTCATGTCAGATGGAAATGTTATACTTCCCATTTAGTACGGACCATTTATTTTCTTATACCTTTTCCATCTCTGGGTTTATGTTGAGTTTAGTGTGCTTCTTCCCAAATACAGATCAGCACAGGAGTTCTGACCTGCTCCATTTCCAACTTGGGCCTATTCATCCCTCCTTAGGCAACCTGGTGGTCCCCACTTCTGGATGTCACCATATTGATGCCAAACTTGGTGCAGACACCTGATCAGCATAGTGCACTGCAGCCCAGAACTCCTGGACTCAAGAGATCCTCCCACCTCAGCCTTCTGCATAGCTGGGACTACAGGCACGCACCACCACTCCTAGCTTCTTCCCAAATACAATGTTCATTTTTTTTGGTGTAAAAACAGACAGGCAAACAAATAAACACAGACTAGTGCCCTTTGAGATTCATGCCATTCATGCATACCATCTTCTATTGCTCTCACTTTATGTTATCTCTTCTTGTCACTCTCCTTCATTAGATAATGACATGGTCAAAATCTTCTCTATTTTTTGGTTACCCATGATCCTGGTTGCAAACATTAATATTCATATGGATGGCTCACTAAACTGGCTTTTCATGTTCCTGGTTTCTTTATTCCCAGAGATTCCTACCCACCTACTATTCCCATGACATATCCCTGAACCTCTCTAGAGATTTCTACATTTACTTTCCAATAGTTATTATCATTGTTTATCCCCTTTCTATTCATTCTCCTAGAATAATATTTTGTTAATGGGATTGTGTATCAGTCCTCTGCTAAAAATCCTTCATGGTTTCCCATAGCTTTTTAATATAGATTCAAGGAACCTTTTTGCTGAGTCTTTTGCTTAATCTCTGGGCTTCTTTCCTAAGTACTATTACTCTGAAGTTTGAAAACCTTTTCAAGTCTTTGAAAAAACCAGATTGCCTTTCTTTTTGCCTGATAGATTTTGTGGACTCAGCTAATTCCTACATCTCCTTTTAGTTTTAACCAGTTCTTTTGCTACTATATTGGATTAAGAAGGTCTTTTGTGTGCTCTGTATATGGGTAAGGTCTTCCTATTGTACATTCAACATGCTGTAGTCTTAATTTAGAATACTTACAAATGCTACTAATTATTTATGTGATCATATATTTAATATGTATCACCAATGACTCAGAAGGACTGTTTTATCATACAACTCATTTTTCCCCATATCAATAGGTACCAGGAAGTGGGAGATATTCAAGACAGATGATCTTTGACTTCTGATGGAGTTATATACCAAGGAACTCATCTCAGATAGAAACTGTCACAAGTAAAAAATGTGTTTAATACACCTAACCTGTTGAAAATCCTAGCCCAGCCCCTGATCTTGGTAGCAGACCTGTAAGAGGTGGAACTGCCTGGAGCTGTCCTATAGTTCTTGCCCCAGCCACCCGACCTTGGTGGCAGACTGGTAGGAGGTGGGGCTGCACTGGTACTTGAAGTCCCCCCACAGCCCAGCCCCCCATGCACCTCTGGCCTCCTGGCTGTGTGGGTATCTGGATTCACACCACAGAAGCACAGGGGAGGGGGTCATAAAGCCCATTGTCCTGAGCCCTAGCCTTAATTTTTATTTAATTCACACAATTAAAGGTGATAGATTAATAACTACCACAAATTGTCATTTTCTAAGTTGTGCTTGATGCTTTTGTGTTGCTGATTGTATCACTTGCGCTAAGATGTTGTGATTGATCTAATCAGTTGTCCTTCCTGGTATAGTGAAAAAGAGATTGCCTCAGAGTCATTAGAACTCGAAACCTGAAGATAAGCTATAGCAGGAAGATCAAAGTATTAATTCAGGTATCAAACCAAGTACAGTATCAACAACAAAAATAAAAATGGGAAAACATTCAAGTAAGGCTCAAGCACAAACACAGATGTCCAGGTTACCAAGGGCAAATTCTAGGGGAAATGGAGTGGAAAAATCTGATAATCAGCCACCTGGACACCCTGAACTGATAGCAGAGGAACTAACAAAACAAATTAATGAGGCTCTAGAAAAATTCAAAACAAATAATTTCCCAGACAACTACAGAGATGGTGAACAGAATGAATGACATGATTAGAGACCTTAGAACAGAAACATTAAAAGAAAAAAAGATGAGCTCAAGACCATGATAGAAGCCATGAATGCCCAGCACAGGAAAGAAATGGAAACCATGAATGCCCAACATAGGAAAAAAATAGAATCCATGAAACTGATTCAAACAGATATCCAGGAGATTAAAAACTCTACTGAGCTGGGAGTGGTGGAGCATGCTTGTAATCCCAGCACTTGGGAAGCTGAGGCAGGAGAATTGGTGTGAGTTAGAGACCAGCCTGGGCTACATAGTGAGATCCATGTCAGTCTCAAGTACATAGTGAGACACTGTCTCAAAAAAAAAAAAAAAAAAAAGGAAAAACTCTACTGAAAGTTTACATAACAGACTGAGCCAATCTGAAGACAAGATTTCAGATAGATAAGACAGGATGAAGATCAGTGACCATGAAAAGAAAGATCTCTTAAAAATAGTAAGTGAATTTGAAAGTCAATC